TATTCCTTCTTGTTGATTATAGCCCTTGACGACTAGCCTTGCCTTATTTCTGGTGATCTGTCCATACTCATCAAGCTTATTTTTAAATACCCATTTGAGACCAATCATGGTTTTATTCTCGGGTCTTGGTTCTAGATGCCATACCTTGTTTCTTTCAAATTGATTTAGTTCTTCCTGCATAGCTAGAACCCAGTCAATATCGGAGAGAGCCACTTCATGGTTCTCCGGTTCTATAAGTGATAAGTAAGCAAAGAAAGTACAGAAGTTTATTAATTTGGATCTTGTTGTTACTCCCTGATTTAGATCTGTTAAGAGGTTATCCAGGGGATGTGATCGATGATGTTTCCATCCTCTTGGAGCGTTGGGTTGATCCACAAACTCGTATAAGGTATCTGGACCTGCACCAGCTGGTTCTTCACTTGGATTAGTCGTGGTCAGTCCGGGTCCTTCTTCAGTTCTAGGTTCGTTTTGTTCATTGTCCAGTGATTCCTCAGTTTGGTTATGGCTTGTTTCAATGTTTTTATAAGAATGATTTCCCTTGCGAAGAATTCCTATGTCTCCTTCATCATCTTGCCTCAGTTTTAATGAAAGGGCTTCATCAAAGATTATATGGATGCTTTCTTCCACACATTGAGTTCGTTTATTTAGAACTTTGTAAGCTTTGCTGTGAGTGGAATATCCGAGAAAGATTGCCTCGTCACTTCTTGCATCGAATTTGCCAATATTGTCCTTCCCATTATTGTGGACGAAACATTTGCATCCAAATGTTCTTAGATGACTGATGTTTGATTTTCTTCCTTTGAGTAGTTCGTAAGGTGTCTTTCCTAGGAGTGGCCGGATCATAGCTCGGTTAATTATGTAGCACGCTGTGTTAAGTGCTTCTGCCCAGAAGTTTCTTGCCAGACCACTAGAAATCAGCATTGTTCTAGTCATATCCTCCAGTGTTCTATTCTTCCGTTCTACTACCCCATTTTGTTGAGGAGTTCTAGGAGCGGAGAAGTTGTGGTCTATCCCTCGTTCTTTGCAGAATTCCTCAAATAGTGAGTTGTCAAACTCGGTTCCATGATCGGATCGAATTTTGATTAGGTGCAACCCTGTTTGATGCTCAATTTCCTTACAAAAACAACAAACTCATTAAACGTATCTTTCTTACTTGCAAGAAAGATAGTCCATGTAAATCGTGAAAAGTCATCAACAATAACTAACACATATTCTTTGTTTCCCCGACTTCGGACTGACATTGGGCCACACAAATCCATATGAATTAGTTCAATGGGCTTGCTTGTGCTCACAAAATTCTTTGTCTTAAAAGATGATCGAGATTGTTTTCCAGTGGCACAGCAGAGCAAATATGATCAAGGGAATATTTGATTTTAGGTAGCCCGACTACCAATTCATTATTTTTGAGTTTATTGATTAATGAAAAGCTAGCGTGGCCCAATCTTTTATGCCAGAGTAGGGGATCATTGTCAATAACGCTTAGGCAGGTCAAACTTATACTTGGCAATAGATCGAGATCAACTTTGTATGTATTTTCAAGTCTCTTGCCTTCTAGTATGACTTGCTGAGATTCGTTATTGACAATGCGGCATACATTATGATCAAAAACTACACTGTTATCTCGATCGCAAAACTGAGAAATGCTAAGTAGATTAAACTTTAGACCTTTGACTAGGAAAACATTGTCTATTGCATGGTCGGGTGACTTTCCAATTTTTCCCACAACAATGATTTCTCCTTTGCTGTTGTCTCCAAATGTCACCTTTCCACCACTAAATGGCCGCAGTGAGAGGAACAAAGATTTATCTCCGGTCATGTGTTTAGAACAACCACTGTCAAGGAACCAGTGATTGTTCCCCCTCACTCGGCGTTGTTCCAGGATTAAGGTTTAGTGCGTGGAACCCAGACCTGCTTGGGTTCCATTTTATATTGGTTTGAGGAATATTTACTGAAATTCATGCTTCTCTCTAAGGCCTGTTGTCGAGAGTGACATTGATACATAAGATGTCCGTCTTTGCCACAATATCCGCAGATCCGGCTGTCATATGTATCAACATATTTGGTTTTCCGATTTCCGAAATGATCTTTGCCCCTTTTATAAAATCCTTGGTTAGGTGTTTGACCATAACCTGTTTTGTGTCTTTGAACCAGCTTGTCGAACCAGGTTGGTCCAGTTCTAGGTTGTCTATGGTATGGTCTAGAACTGGTTTGTTCTCTAGTTCTATTACCATAAAAGGGTTGGTTCTGAAAACTCGATTTTTGATTTGTTTGAGAATTTCTTGGAATGTATCCGAGACCAGCAGTCTCGTTTTCCTTTCTTTTGTACCGAGAGGGTCCAGTTCTAGAATGCTGTCTAGACCTGGTTCTTACCTTGGTACTATATGGTTGGTATTCCGGTTTGTTTTTAAAATCCTGTCTCTCGTCCTCAAGGCGATTGAGATGATTTATGAGCAAGGCAATGTCCGGAATTTTTCTTAGAAGTTTTTCTTCGTCATTAACTTGTTTATTCATATTATCGAGCTTAAGTGAGCAAATGAGGTTATCTTGTTCCAAAACCACTTCACTATACTTGAGCCTTTCATCTATTAACTCTCCCACTTTTGTTTCCAGCCTTATCTTGGCTCTAGTGGCTTCCTCGAGTTTAGACTCAAGTTCGGTGATTTGTGATTTAAGATTATCATTTTCAGAAAGACTTTGATTTAGTTCGATTGTTAATCTTTTGAAAATCTTTCGGACCTTGCCTTTAGAGAGGGAATCAAATTTAGAAAGAAAGCTCTCCAAATTTACCTCGAAATTCTCTTGGTCGGATTCTACATCGGAATTAGCCATGAGGCACAATCCAGCATGATTTAGGCCCTTTTCTTCTTCTTCTTCTTCATCATCGGATGAGTCTCCCCAGGCTGCCATCATTGCCTTTTTGAGGTCTCTGTTGAATCCTTTATCTTCACCGGACCTCCGATGGGAACTGGTATTGTTCTTGTCGTAGGTTCTATCATTTTTCTTTTGAGGACAATCTTTTGCCCTGTGCTCAAAGGAACCACAAATGAAACAACCTTGGTTATTAAAAGATTGGAAACCCTTTTTACCTTGTTTATTTCGGTTGCCTTTGAATTTACGGTACATCTTTCCGAATTGCTTGGCGAACATGCTCATCTCATCTTCCGATTCACTTCCGGATTCTTCTTCTTCTTCTCGAGCCTTGAGAGCTATTCCTCGCTCTTTTCTCACATTTTCTGCATCTTGTTCTTCTTGTAGGCCTAGCTCATATGTCATGAGTGAGCCGGTCAAGTCTTCTAGCGTCATGGTAGAGAGATCTTTAGCTTCTTCTATTGTTGTAGTTTTAGGCTTCCATGCGGATGGTAGGCTTCTCATAACTTTTCTCACCTGATCTTCTACAGTAATATCTTTTCCAAGTGCTGAGAGCTCATTGATAATATTAGTAAAACGTGTAATCATATCCCTAATTGATTCTTTAGGCTTCATCACGAATAATTCGTAATTACGCATAAATATGTCAATTTTGGATCTTTTTACACGCGAGGTACCCTCATGCGTAATCTCAAGTAGATCCCACATTTGTTTTGCGGATTTGCATCCAAGAACACGGTTGTGCTCAGCCGGACCAAGTCCACAAATCAAATATTTCAATGCTTGAGCATTATGCTCGAGTTTACAATAATCATCAGAGGTATATTCAGATTTGGGTTTAGGGATAACCATACCTTCGGCATCTTCTTTTGTAATGATGTTATCGCCTACTTCAATTACGTTCCATACCTGGTAGTTCTCAGCCTTGATGAAGTTCTCCATTCGACTCTTCCAGAATTGATAAAATTTGCCGTTGAACAACGGTGGTCGTTGAGTCGAGTATCCTTCCTCCAATCGTTCAACCGTATTCATGCTGCCGGATCTCTTCCCAAGGTTTTAACCTTTCTGTGGTGAAGACCGGCTCTGATACCAATTGATGAAACGGTTAGCAACACAAGAGGGGGGGTGAATTGTGTGTGTGTGGAACCGTGACAGTTTTTCGCACAGTTCTAGTGTGGGGTCCAGGGAATTACGAAATAGTAAAGTGCACAAGGATTTAACGAGGAAAAATCCCTTGGCTCAAAGGGATTAAAAAAACCTCGACCTCCCTCGGAGGAATTTGAACAACTCCACTAAAAAGCCTTTGAATGATTACAAGGGAAACTCTCCTAGTCTACCCTTGAGCCACCCCAACTCTATCCTCTCTAGGAAGAGTTATGCATCTCTACCTTGTGGGTAGAGAGTCTCTCAGCTTTACAACAAAGCTCTCACAACACACTAACCAACCCGAGGATGCTACACTTAGCCAATCCTCAAAAACCCAATTACAATATGAAGAAGGGAAAAAGAAACTCTGTCTGGAACTCCGTGAGCAGGTTGAGATGCCTTGGACTTAGTGAATATTCTCGTGTATATTTCTCAATAGAAGCTCGGTCAAGCACGCCTCTTTCGTCTGGTCTTCAGTCCAATATATATAGCATCTGTAGCCTCTCCTTTCCTTTTATTCAAAAGATCTTCCGGCTCTCAATTATGGTGATCCTCGGTCAACCATATATATGGAAGTATATTATGAGTAATTCACTCAATAACAAACAGATATGGAGAATATTACGTATCACATATAAGGAGAATATTTTATTCTCCTAATATAAGCAGCCAACGAACATTATGTAGCAACAACATATTTATATAATCAATGATTAGTCCTCTTTAACAAGTTTGAATATGTAACGATCATATAAGTAAGATATTCAAATAAGATGCTACAGATCATGCAACCCAAGATACTTTCCAAAATTTATGACTTTTTAACATTAAGTGATGAGGAAATATTTACTCAGTGGATCTAAATATGCTACGGTCAATTTGTGCAGGATATTTACGTAGCATAAATAATGATTCTTTCCATAAGCTATATAGACCAACTCATAGAGGTGAGTGCTTAGTCGTATACGGAAAGATATATAAATTGTGCCACGTATACTAGGAATATGCATGATCAATCTAGGCATGTAGATGAGGTATTGTCATTCAGGTACATATTAATTTATTCATTATGCACAACAATCAGTCATATAGATCAGAACTAAGTATAGTTCCAATTCTCGTTCCTAATGGAACTGAGAGCAGTTCTGTCCGCCATTCCACCTACATGGTTAGTCATCAACAAAACAACATATTCAACAGGTTTCGAATTGTGGAAGGTGACCGAGTCCCATAGAGCCGCTCAAGTGTCTTCCAGACATCAGCAGAAGTGCGTGCAGAGCCAATTAATGGTTTGCAAGCAGAGCTAGGGAGGAGACTAGGGCGTGGCGAAGGAGTCTGTCCTGTCGGTTCCATCTGAGACGGCCGATTGCATCACTTTCTGGCGGCAGTGCAGTCTCCTCCTCTATATACTGGCTCAGGTCTGACCCAAACAGAAGGTCAAGAACCTGATAATGCCAAACCAGGTAATTAGAACCGTCTAATTTTTCTTGGAATTGACTGGGTTAAACATTATGAGTCCATCAGGGTCAAAGGGTAGTTGGAAGAGGTAGCCAAGATTTTAGCAAGTGGATTTTTGAGGTCTCCTTATTCCTGGAGATTCTCTGTTTGTCTGGCTGTATTTTCTTCGTTAGCCATGAGTAGAGGGGCTGGTGAGACCTCTTATGTCTCTGATACCATAATAGAGTTTAGAGGAAGATTGAATTGCAGACTGAATTGCTTACTTTATTCTCAGGCATGTATTGGTATTTATACAATCATTGGAGCCTATAATAATAATTATAATACTAATTACAACTTCTACAACTTGTAGGAGAATTCCAACCGACAGGTTGGATGGGATGGACAGCAGCTTGGAACTTTCAGATTCTACCTAAAGTAAAATAGTTTTTTTGGCAATTTTCTGTTGGTATTCTGCCAACGGCTGACTTGATGGAGAGTAGGTTTGTTCCAGTGTCGGGAGAATGTCCTTTCTGCAAACGGGAGGAAGAGTCAAGACTCCATTTGTTCTTGTTGTGCTCAGCTGTCTATAGAATTTGGGAGACTGCAGGGCTGGCCAGTTTGATTTCAGGGGATGTGATGCTGCTTGCCTCGAGAAAGTCTTCTCATCATTAGCCAAGGAAGATATTAGCCAAGGAAGATGTCTGCAGATTCATAATGATCCTTTTGAGTGTGTGGAAGCACCGAAATGAAATTGTGTGGAGAGGTGGGGGCTTCTCTCCTCAGGAGCTGTGTTGATGGTGGCTGCTGCAACGTTGGTGAGCTGGAGATCTGCCCAGGAGGTGGGCAGCAGGTCGGGTGCCATCAACGATAGCCATACACTAATTACATGGCAGAAACCGGAACAAGGTTGGGTCAAAATAAACGTGGATGCGGCAAATCATAACACAACAGGAAGATGGGCTTGGGGATGGATTGCTCGGGACAGAGAGGGTGCTTTTCTTAGAGCATGCAGCCGTGTGGTCAAGGATAGTTGGTCAACGGAGGCAGAAGCTATTGGAGTACGAGAAGTGATCATTTGGGCTAGAGAAGCTGGCTGGAGCAAAACAGTGATTGAAACAGACGCTGCTCTGGTTCTATCAGGCATAAATGGGGAGATTAGTGCTTCTTATGTGGGAATCATTTTTGAGGATATAAAATATTTAGTGATTAAGGATAATAATGTAAGAATCCAGCGAATCAGAGGCTCGTGCATTAGCTAGAGCGGCTGTTTCCATGTCTGGTAGCGAAAAAAATTATTTTACTCCTCCAAGTTTTATTGTAAGCCGTTTGGCTAATGATCTTTTAATATAATATGGTGAGTTTTCCATAAAAAAATATTACTCGTAGAGTTTCAAAGGACAAAAAACTGATTTAAATAAAAAAACTGATTTTTTGTCTAGACAAAAAACTTATTCAAACAAAAAAAGGCCCATTGTGTTTCTTCTCGCGTCTCTGTGTCTTCCATCCGCGTTTATTCCATTGGTGTTTTCATCCGCACCTGCTCCTCTTCCTCTCACAGTCGCATTGCTCCATCGCCTCTCGCCTCATCATCGCCGCCAATGCATCATCGACGCCGCCTCCATCCCTAGCATCTCTTCTTATACTCCTGTCCAATCGCGGTGTACATGAATTTTGCGACTCATGACAGGCAGCTAAGGTAGCGATTGGGTCTTCGAGGAAGCAGCAATTTCGTCCTGCTGCTCTACCTCCGCTGCAGGTGTGTGGGAGGAGCTGGGGACAGAGTGTAGGTGTGGTGCACTTATATTATAGTTCTCAGATATAGTCTCTATCTTATGAGTCAGACTATATTGTAAATTTGATCAAATTTAAGTTTAACAGTTTAAGAAAATTTATATTTGAGTCCCTTTAGGTGTCTAAATTACACATACACATTTTGGTAAAGATGGAAACCAGCACTCTTGCATCCAACAATGTTAAAGTTGGGCATTCAGTTAACAACATCAACTAATTAACTATGAGTGTGATGACAACAAAGATGGCAGTAAATGTAAGAACTGCTTCAACCAAAACACTGCTAGAGCTTTGAATCTTCATATCTGGGAGCTGTTGACTACTACCACGGACCTTCAACACCAGATGTTGGATTCTCAAAGCGGAGAAAACCCAGTATGTCTTTAACGAGTATGGCGGATATGAGGTTGCACCCTCTTCAGTGATTTTCACAATCTGGATCTTGTTCACAGCAGACCTATCATGATAGAGAAGCATGTGCATACGTTTCTCCAACAATTTGACACAAACTATTAAGCATGTACATTCTATCATATTTGAATCACTTTGAACTGGATGTGTATCATATGTATAATGTTATACAGAGTATAACATTAGTTTTTTTTTCAATAGTCTCTAGCTACAAGTGAACATCTACATAGCCAAAACGGGTGATAAACATACCCTCTGGTTGCTAAAATTCATAATATTATTATACGTAGTATTTCTTAGTAGTACCTGATTGCTATATCTGCATGTCATGCAATGAAGTGGATAACAATTTGTGGATAACAGTCTCACTTTAAGTCAATAATATAGTTTCTACCATAAAAGTAGAAGGTATGAAATGAAGATGTTTGTGACATATACATGTTATGATGTTCAATGACTTATATATAAAGGTGAAATTTTACATTGCTTTTCTTTATCTTTGCATTACACATGTAGGATCTGCAATAAGTTGTTATCAGCATTTGATCTTTGCAGCATATTTTTTGGGACTTCTATGCTTTTAGATCATCATCATTACCCCAGTGCCGCAAAGGCTCCCCCACCTACGGTGGAGTAAGGGGGTCGGATTTACGCAGTCTTACTCCTGTACTAAAACACAGAGAGACTGTTTCCGGATGACCCATAGTGAAAATCGGGTCGAAAATTGCATGGACTGACCGGTGCTTCATAACAAAGAAGCGCAGACAGTTTAGTGAGTCATTTAGCTTTATTCCATCATATTCCCAAGTCAAAATATAGTGAGTTTTTGACTCCATTGAAAATGATGGAAATAACAAAGTAGTTAGCTTATCTTTAAGAAATAGTTTAACTGGAAGTTTATTGTTTTAACCTTTAAAAAGTGAAAACCATATTTGAATATGAAACCATAACGTTAGTACTAATGTTTACAAACTGTATTTGAATGTATAAACTTTAGTATTCCATCATAACATTAGATTTTAAAATATCTTTTGTACCTAAAGGAACAATATTTTCTTAGGATGCACTTCTATTTTTGACAGAATATGCTTTCAGGTGCTTTGTGCCGTAAAATCTGCTAGGAAGCTCTCTCTATAAGGTGGGGGGGAAGGGATTGATTATTCCAGCTAATGCTTCCATGATATAAGCACCATTCTCGAAGTTGGATGAAAGTTGCATTCTTGACCGCAGAAAAAAGCTCGGGGTGATTGATTGATAATGGATAGGAAGATTTAGGATATGCAGTCTGTTTGGGAATTCTCAATTGGTGAGGCGTTCATGTTTTGGTTCTCCTTAAGTACCAATATGATTTACAACATTAAAGTAATGGAGTAGAACTGTGAGTAGTTGGAAGATGAAGGTAATTAGCATGACCCCAGCGGCTTAACGCTAAAGTCTTCATCATCTGCCAATGGTAATGATAAATTAAAGCTCCATGTGCATTAGAGTGATAGAGGAATCTGAGCCTCAACCGAAATTTTCTGTGATGATTCACTAAGAAAAGAGTGAGGTCCTAGAGAAAATGGACTGCTTTTTTTTCCATCCTTGGCCATTGATACCAGTTTACTTTCAGAATATTGATTGGGCATGCTTGTGGGCATTTGGTGATTGTAGCCATGGTGTGTAAGATTATTTCCTTTTTATTTTTATTAGTATTATGACATGTTCTTTGGGACATGTCTTTATTGTGAGAACTGTGAAAAGGCTGTCCATGGTTTGGCTTTTCATTTCCCTCTAGAAACTAATGTATGACAATAATATTAGCATTAAAAAAACAAGTGATAGAGGCTGCAGGTGATGTGAAGACGTTACTACCTTGTTAGGTAGCGTGATTTGGAGGGCAGTTAGTTTCCAGAGCTGTGTTAAGTGTACACATTTTTGTGTACGTCTTTTGTACACTCGTCTGTCTCACACATAAAAAATTGTCTGTCCATAGACAATTCTACAGAGTGGACAGACAATTCTATGTGCGTGAGATAGACGAATGTACAAAATGTGTACACTATTTTGTACGCCAAAATGTGTACACAAAGTTAGTAATTTCCCACCTATGTTATCCCATAAGGCTCAATGTTGGATTTGCTCTATTGGATTATTGTTTTTACTGATTTAGTACATAGCTTATGTTAAAAAACTATATAAATAGAAGTGTAATTTTAATATTTAATAGAGGCTTTCATTTTAAATTATGTTCAAGTCGATCTTCTTGAAAATGGTTGTTTTGATTTCTTTAGAGTGTTACTCCTTATGTTCCAATTTAATTTGATGGTTTGACTGCGGTTTACGAGATTTGACTGACTTTAAAGCAAATGAATCTCTGGTCACACACTCACACTCAAATTGTGTTTAGAAAATACTACGTAAAATTTATGAAACTACATTAAAAGTTTTACAAAGTCTCAAAAAGAAAAATCAAATTTGATAAAAGTTTGATAAATAAAATAAGAGATTAAGAGTGGTTTGTGTTGATCAGGCGAATAAAAACAGGATCATCAAATTGTGATAGGGTAGTACAGAGTATTATATAACATCGCCTATAAAGATTGAAATTATTAGACAACTCTATTTAGTGAAGTGCTTCAATGATTTCATTTTTAGATAGTGATGGATTGTAGGGATCCAAGTATGTATAAAATGTAGAGATTTTAGCTCAAGAATGTGTGGAGAAGATGAAGTGTAGTAGAATGAATTGTGTCCTAATGACTTAGGGTTACAAGAGGCTCCAAGAGGAGTATAAATAGAGGAATAACGGGCCGGGCCGCTAATATGGACCCGATAGCCCAACTACATAAAAGACTAATCTAGTACATACAAATGATATATGAACAGTACAAAAATACAAATGATATCCATAAGACGTGTGTGGGCCGCTGTCCGGGCCCAATAGTCGTGAGACCTGGGGGTCCGAGTCTATATACTCTATCAGGAGTCCCCCACTCCCTGAGTCGAGAGTATTCGAGGCGAAAGGGAGTAGTCCAAACTGTATCTGCAACGTTCTTCTGTCTTTGATTTCTTCCTCTCCGGCCGGGGACCACCACCCTTGTTCATGATGGGGAGGTGCCTCATTAAAAACCTTTACTAGGAAAAAACCCTGTGGGAAAAAATCCTAATAAAGGGAAAAAGAGTACACCTAGCGCCCCCAACATGAAACAACGAAGGTAAGTTCCCTCTGGCATAATCAATTTTGTCTAGCTCAGCTCCTCTTCATCGGACCCAACTTTCGTTACTGCTCATGCGTGATATCTTCTGCTCATTTAGAAACTCTGACCTCTCAGTCCCCCAGTCCCCCACTCCTTGAGGCGAGTGGAGACGAGGTGAAAATGAGTAGAGTTACCTTCGTACCTACACATTTAAGATACATATAAATTTTTTTCCCTTGGGGTTTATGTTTCCGATCGGGAGTTCGTCACTCTAAAAGAGTGGAAATGTGAATTGTTGATGTAATGATAAAATACTTAGTAGAATGGACATGTGAGCCATTTGTGCCCGACTTGGTCGGGGCTTTGTGCCTGACTTGGTCAGGGCTTTGTGCCTGAGCTGGGTCAGGGCTTTGTGCCTGAGCTGGGTCAGGGCTTTGTGCCTGAGCTGGGTCAGGGCTTTGTGCCTGATCATGGTCAGGGCTTTAAATCCTAGTGATGGGTCTCAAGCCACAATCTACTAGGCATTTGATCATAAGTGCGTGATAGTGTGACATTCACCCGACAAAAATACTGATTAAAATAAATATAAATAATATTAAAATTAAAGATACTTATCTTTTTGAAGTGGGCTGAACTTGGAGTGTTGTTAAAATTGTGGCCCATCAGCAAGTTTTTATTTGGATCACCTCAGGCCTGACCCACTGTTGCCGTTGTTGATCCGCCCTTGGAGTGTCGACAGAGAGAAAAGGAAGGGCAGAGCCCTTGACCCGCCATATTGGCTTCAACTGGAGAAGGAAGATTGGATCTGGCTACCGCCGGCCAAAGAGCGGGTGTTCTCGAACGTTGTGCCTCACGGGTATTTGTGTCCGTCGCCGGGGAAGAAGAAGCATCCTTCGTCCAAGGTCGTCGCCAACAGAGAGTGGGAGGCGTCCAAGAATGA